TTTAAGAGAAATATTTTTTGAGAAAAGAGCAGTCAGTTAACCCGCATTCTGTGTGACCATCCTGTAAAGAGAACTTCACACTTGTGTGAGGTGCAGTTGGGTTCTGGGGACGTATTGTCTTAGAGCTAAGTTCTGGCTCCTCTGCTTATGAGCTATGCAGGCAGTCTTGGGCAAGGTATTCACCTCTTCATGGCTCAGTTTCTCATCTAATGCAAATAGAGCAGCAATGGTAGAAAGTAACTAATAATAATGTTAGTGAATTTATGCCAGGATATAATTGAGAAGTCTGTGCATATAAAGGAGCACAATTATAGTATAATATAATGCATTATATATAAATTTTAATTAATCTTCATTTTATACATATATATATAACAGATATATGAACACACAGCCCTAACACACCTTTAAAATCTTCTTTTCTCTGTAAAGTGACTCCAACCAGGTCTTCCCTCTCTGATTATTTCACTCCCATCCCCCAGCACAAGGCTAGGAAAAACACCCTTCTATTTTCCAAGAGAGAAATGCAGGACTGCACAGATCCTGAGACAGTTACATCACATAACACTTAGTATACAGGAAGCACTCAGGAAGCGGGAGGGGCTAGATGGACCACTTCTTGTTTGCATCCCGGAATATGTAAACTGGTACCACTCAGTCACAGTCTTCTACCTTCTATGTTCTAAGTTCATCAGCTGGTGCAGGATTTACAAAACCAAGTGAAATGTGGTCCATTCTTGAGGAGTTGGCAGTGTACTTTGGGAATCACACTTATAAATTAGAGTTTGCAGGCAATATGATAAAAGCTTTGCAAAGTATTAAGAGAACCCCACAAATCATGCCAGAAAGTATTACAAGGCTTCTCAATGTAGTTAGGCCTTGAGCTAAGTTTACAATAAAGAGTAGGAGTTAGTTAGATAAAGCAGAGGAACTGACTGGACAATGATAGAGGCAACTAACAATGTGCTACTTCATGAATAGCAAATTTTTACAATTGATCAAAGGAGTTGTAGGAGATGAGAACAGAAAGCTCAACAGATTTTAAAATCATAAAGAGTCTTGAATACCATCCTGGATAATTGGGGGCATTGCAAGTTTTTAGGAGAAGATAGATCAAATGTGCATCTAAGAACATAGTTGCAGTCATTTGAAGTGACTTAAAGGATATCAGACTGGCAGTAGACAGCCCAGTAGAAAGTTTAAGTCAATAACCCAGGCCATGCTCCATATGGTCCTGAATGAAGAAACATATCTGTAGGTGGAGAGAAGCTTTGAGAGGTTTCATTGAGGGTGATTCTGCAAGGCTGGGGTGTTGTGTGGGGGGTGAATCAAAATTGATGATTCTGTGGTTCCTACTTGGGATGACTCCATATAAATTAGGCTATCACCAAGATAAGAAATTCAGGAGGAGGAAAAGCATTTTATCTGGAATTTTCAAACAGTCCTAATAGCTCGCTTTCTAACAACCCAAAGGCAAGACGATATTAGCTAGAAGGCAAAATTAGCAAAAATTTAAAGTTATGTGGGGAGAAACAAGAAGAGGAGGAGGAAGTCAAATCTTACAGACATGGTGATGAAAGAAATAAAAAAACAACAGGCCTTGTCTTGAATGTAACTTTGGATTTGATTTCCCACAATTTGTTATTATCCAGGAGATATCTCAGGGATATATTGTCCCAGGAGAAGACAGCTACAGAAAGGCTAAATGGATTGGTGGAATAATCTGGGAATTTTACAAATACTCCTTGAAAAAAATCAGCTTCCCTTTCTTTAGCAGCAGTGCTCCCAAAGTCAAGTCAGGCCTGCAGAGTCTGGAGAGGTCACCACTAGCCAGTTCCCACGGTCTAGCTACTAATTTTTGCATATTGTTGCCTTGACCACACTGGGGGAGAGAGGGTGCCCTTTAACCCAAGCCCTGTGGTCACCACTGGTTTCCCTTCCACAGGGGAGGCAGGAGTAAAGTGACCAGGGACCATAGGCCCAAAGTTGGTTTCCAGCTGGGGTCCTAACTCTGTGTAATTCTTACATGGCTAAGTGACTTTCAATTCTCCTGGTAATGCCTCCCCAAGCAGCAGTACATTGAAAGCAAAAGAGAGCTTGACATATTTTTTTTACCCCCTCCCTTTTTTTTTGTCATCTTTCAACTAGGGTTTGTTTTTTTGTTTTGTTTTGTTTTGTTTTTTGTTTTTTTTTTTTTTTAGAAAGAGTTGCTCTGTGAATGGTTCAGAATGCAGCAAATTTAGGGAAAAGTGATTCTTAGAGAAGAACCTGGCCTTGGTATTTCATTCCAGCTTCCAAACACACTTTTCACTAGTCCTGAGGAGATTTCCCTATGCCCCAGCTCAGGAGAAACATGAAGAAAACCCAGGAGCAGCCCAGTGACAATATGTGACACCAAGATGAATGAGTGCTTTGCATTTTGTCCTTCTTCACCACATGGATCTTTATTTCCTTTTATCCCTCTATCTTTCATGTTCCTTTCTTCTCCATCTTTCCCTTCTCCCTTTCTCTTCCTTTTTTCTACTCTCCTTACCTTGTTACCTCTTCTCTCCATTTCCATCTCTTCCTGTTGTTCTTGGTTCCTTCTTTCTTTCTTCTCTTATCTTTCCTTTGTCCTTCACCAGAGTAATTAAACATGTGAACTCTGAGACAGAGTTCTGGGCTTAACCCAAGCTCTACCACTTTTTTGGTAATATGATCATGGGTAAATTTTTGAACTCCCTCTCTACAATAGAAAGATACCAATGCCATCTACTTCAGTTTTGTTCTAAAAGTTAAGTAAGATTGTGTAAAGCCTTCAGCGTAAGTCTAACACTTAAAATACGTGGCATACATGTAAGTTACTACTCTTAAATTTTAGGTCTCCTTTGAAAACCATGTTCTCTCTCTAGGTATCATTTATATCTATTGGTGTCTTAGAAACAGAGTAGTCCCTGACCTCATCCCTCCCATATAGCTCTTTGCATGCAAAAATCTAAAAAAAAAAAAAAAAGATTCTAAACCTAAATGAATCCTAAGTAAGTCACTTCATCCCATATTTATTCTGTTTACAAAAAGGGCAAATCCCAATAGTTTCTTTTTTCATGTCATATTTCTACATAATATCTAGATGTTAGAAAAGCAAAGTGATGCCTATTAAAACTGCAAGTAGTTTAATTGATCATCATATGGCTTAATAACTTAATCAGAGTCATATTTTGAATTTAGCCTCTAAATCAAATGTATTAGAGTGTTTTTACCTCTGGCTGGTCACATGAGCCAATCGATCTGACTGGCTTTACTCTAATACCTTTTGATTTTTTTTTGTCCACATGTTTAGTCTGAGCCAATGAGTAATTGGATTTCCCTTCCAGATAGTTCTTTTTCATGTCTTTCCTTTCCTCTGGCTTTTCTCCTTTTCCATTCTTTTATCATCTCATTTCTAATTTAAAATTTAAGCACTCATATCATGGAGTACTGGAACAAAGCCTGAGGAAACTTGGATTGTGGAGAATGCCCCTCAAAGTCAACTTTTGGCTTTCAAATTGTTGTAATTGTAAGTAAGTCCCCGCAATACGTATTCGAATGTCTACCCCCAAACGAAAATAGATGTCAGCAACATAGTACTATAATGTAGGGCATAGTCTCAATATCACTCACCATAAGCAATGCTCTGCTACAATAGCAGAGTCTTATAAATTACTGAAATCAATAATGATTTCTGAGGTAGGCGCTTTTCTTCACCTTATCCATGTACCTTCCAAAGCTGCCACAAAGGAGAAGACAGCGGTAGAGAATATTTTTAACTCTATTATTTTTTTGCCTGATATAGGATCTTGCTGTGTAGCACCAGTTGGTCTCAAACTCATACTCCTCCTTCTTCAGCCTCCCAAGGTCTGGCATTGTAGGAATGTTCCATCACACCAGCCATTTGTGCTCTATTGGCATGTGAATACTTGTTCAGTGTTAGATGCCATGCTCTTAACAGACTAGGCTGCCTCAGTTCAAATCCCAGCTCTGCCACTTGAAGGGAGTCTGAAGTTTCCAAGTTAATTTTCTTTGCCTTAGATTCTTCATCTGTAAAAATTTTTCACAGGCAATACTCATGGTTAACATCTGTATCTCAGTGTTATGAGAATTAAGTGTGAATGAGGAGATATTAGAGAGAAATGATTGCCTTGTGTGTTTTGAAGGTGGTTAATAAAGAGTTGTTCCAAACATTTATGAGAAATTCGGATTCCTTTGTGTGTTTTTCTAAAGACATGATCCATAGCTTCCACCAGATCTTTAAAGAGACCTGCTACTCAAAAATGCTTAAGATTCTCTGCCCCTAACACCCTGCCAACACAACTCTTAAAATACAAAAGATTCAGAAATTGGGGGCCTCGTGACATGATAAACTCATGACTTTGTATAGGAGCAATATGTGACCACTTTGCCAGGGAAGAGAATTAGGAAAAGAGAGGGGAAGATTCTGAGCAAGTTAGACAGTTTCTATCTCCAAGATGTTATGGCTCCCTTCAACCCTCTCAGTGTCTCTCTGCTCCATCTTCTGTCAGTCAGGCAAGTAAATGGAAGTAGAAAAACTGCCCTAGAAGGTGAACTTTATCACTTAACTTTATCACTTATCCTATTGAGGCCGTGTAAGCAGACAGCTGAATTTATTTCACAAAGTCTCTGAAGCCAAGACTGCCTTAGTTCTGTGAGTTGAAGCAGGCAGAGCTATGGCAGGAACCAAAGAATAAAGAATACCCTGTTTCTGCTTCCTTTCCCAGAATTAGTTGGCATTGCAGAGATAAAAGACTTGCTTATAAGTCATTTTCTGAAGCCATCCTATATCCTGCTGTGGATCATTAATAGGTTTCCAAGCAGATAGTTTCGTGTGAAACATTTATTTACCCTTATTATTAAGATGCAGGTGTTCCACTGGAAGCATCACCTCTGAGGCCTAGAAATCACATGATAGAACCAGGCATGCATATGGAGGAAGATTCAATCCGTGAACCATGAGCAGGCAAGCCTGCCATGTCAAATAGTGTGAAATCACAGGAAAATACAATTGAATACACACTCAAAAGGTATTACATAAAATAATTTACTTCTCATTCAGAGTGAGCTTCCAGACCTATTTGTGATACAGCAGTCTGTGAGTACAGTACAATCTGAAAGTCATGACAATCGTAATAGGGCAAGACCAAACAGTTGTACATTTGGATCCAGAGACAAAATTGTGGAACTGTGTATAAAAAAAGGGAAGCTGATGAGAACTCAGGGGACATTCAGAGCAAGACTGCCAGAGAGACAAGAAGGGTACAGTTAGAAAACCTTTGTCTTCCCACAATGAGACTTGTATACACACTCTTGAGCATCTTCATCTTGCAGCCCAGTACATTGGCTAAAAGCCACAAAGGTGCTCATGCATGCAATTTATACTGGAGTAATGGATGCAGTCAGTGTGCATGAGTGTGTGCACATGTTCAAAGGCAGTAGTTTTCAAAGAATGAGAAGAAAATTACTTCCTGGGCATTCATTAATAATTCAGATAATATCCTGTATCTCCATTTATAAAACAATACAATAATAAAAACATTGTACAAAAACATCATAAATAACATAAATGAGAAATTTTCAAGTATTTCATGTGCCTTGAAAAGTCCCAAGCAGTAGTTCTAATAAGGCTTTCTTTCTTTCTTTCCTTTTTTCTTTTCTCTCTCCTTTAATCTCAGAGCCTAGAAAGAAATGCCTTCAGTCTCTGCTAGCCCCTGATGTTGGGATGGAATAAACAAAATTTTATCTTGAAAGAGAACTTATTAGGGCTTTTCAGTTTAGGAAAACTTGTTTCCCCCTTATAAAGTATAAATTTCCCCTGGTACATTCATGTAAGCATAGAGCCCAGAACCATTATAGGGAACTAACAATCAACCACAATGAACTTAGGAGGGTCATTTGATGGCTAAGGTTCTCAGGGGATAAAATGAGAAAAGCACCTTGATCAAGAGAGGAAAAAAGGTCAAAGGATAGGAATAGTAACCTTCAAATTCTGTGCCCTCACCTAACTTATAGTAGGGCTAGCTGGCAAGGCCTTGACTGCATTTCTTCAATCAGCTCAAGCATCCCATCTCCCAGCTCCAAACCAACCTAGCTGCTGAAAGGCAGGCCCTGAGCACCCAGGCAAAGAAGGGAGGGCCAGCAGCATAGGGACTCAAAAGTGCCGTTAGTGATAACCAAAACAAGACAGTTCCAGGTCAGATGTATGATTCTTTCTCATACTTGCTCCTTAAAATTGTGCACAATGTAGAGGCTACCAGTGCTTAAATTAAGCATGAAGTCCCTTGGATTCTTCTCCAACAAGACCCAATTATTTTAAAGAACCAACTTTCTAGAAGTTAGCATTCCTCTTTTAGCCTGCATGGCAGTTGGATCAGTTTGCCCTGTTTAAATGCAATAAAAAAGAGCAGCGATCAGAACATGCATGTAAGCACGCATACACACTCTAATTTGAGCACCTAGGGTCTTTCCCATCTACTCTTGCAGAAATGTTTGTGTGTACACATGCACACACACATTTGAATACACAAACACAAATAAATATATAAAGAATGTATATGTATATATTATATATATACACACATACATACATACCAACCTCACCTAAACATCAAGAGTCTGTAGAAAAGTACTGGCTAACAGAATACACATGCATGTAAATGTCACATGAAGTGTACCAAACAACCAAGCTGAGGTCAAACTGTTGGACAGAGAAAACTGCCAATAATCTTTGAAAAAAACCTACAAGGCCATTACTTGGATACTTGCTCACATGACATCCTAAAGGAAAGTTGGAAAAATTGGACTGGAATAGGGTCCCACCCTGTTAAACACCCAAAAAATCACAACTAAATCTAGTTTTTACATGGAAGTGACTCACACATGGCAGGCAGCATGAACACTAGGCTACAATGTGGATAAAGCACTGGTGCTTAATACAGATCAATATTTGGCCTCAGTTTTCCAGAGCATAGAGTCTTGGCATTTCAGCCCTCTGTCTCCAAGTGAGAATTAAGCATACTGGGGGAGCAGGGAAGTACAGTTTGCAGAACTCTTGGCTCCTTTCTGCTTCTCTGCCCCACAACTGGAAGGATTGGCCAAATCCAGATAGAATCGGGACTTGAGGAAGCGGCGGTATGAATCCTTTTCCATCAGGTTGAATATCTTCTTCTGGGCCTCATCAAAGCAGGTTATTGTTGGCTGTAGCATATTCCGGCTTGTCTCCTCTCTGGTGCAAGAATCCAGGTTCACCTGAGGAGCAGAGACCAAGGCTCTGTTAAGTCTACAAACTTGTTGAAGATGGGAGGCTACATGTTTTGTACTGAATAACAGGAGACTGACTATGAACCTTCCATATTCCAGGAATGAAACAACAGAATATTTGGTTATATCCTGGCATATGTGAGACAGTATAAAAACTCATTCTGCTTCAAGGTGGGAAAAGAAATACTATCTTTCCACTCCTCCAAATTGGGAGATTTATCAGGAAAATTTATCAAGTTGAACTCATTAAAGTCACATGGATGAAAGAGCTTTTTTCTTAATACACTTATTTGGGTTTGTCAAAATTGTAATAGCCAACTCCACTGTTTCTTTTAACTCACGTGATCTCAAGATCCCTACCATGGAATGCCACCACCGTGAATCTTCAAGATCCAAAGAGTTCTCTGCCATGAAAACTTACCTCTTTGGTTGCTTGAACTGAGATGAATTCATTGTAGATCTTCTTGGCCTTGGGACTTAGTTTAGAGGGTGACTTGATTTTCTTGTATTCTTCACAACTGATCCAGAAGTCAATATTCTCCTCACTGTATTCAGACTTCAAGAAAGCTTTGAACGCTGCCAGCCCACCTGTGACACAGCAGAAAGAACCACAGTTGTCATTATACAGACTGGCATGTTTGACATCCATTTTTTTAAAAAGCTAAGATACTTAGGAGAATAAGGCATGGGTTCAGGAAATCCTCTTTTTCTTCCCTCTTTGGAGGGTCACTTGTGGTCTGAAAACCTTAATCTGTTTTCGGTATCTAGTAGATCCAAGTCATATGTAATGACTTCCACTTAAGATTGAAGCCTCTTTCCAGAAAGCATTGTGCTTCTGAAATGTTTATGGAGCCATAAATTGCCAAGGTGGGTTTTAAAAAGAGAAACTGAGGTTGATTTTGCAAGAAGATCTGTTAGTTTTCCATTCAATGAGAATGATGGTTTTTCACATGGTTTCTTTTTGAACTTCCCATCATTGGACAGGGTAAAAATTTAAACACACTGGATATAAGATCAAAAGTTTATACTGGCTCTGGAATCCAGCAGGATCCCAGACCTTTCTATAGTTCCTATTAGAACTAAATAATGAGATAACTTGTCTTATCCAGAGTGACTTTTTCCTAAGCCCCAGGTGGGTGGAGGGTGTCAGACTTACATTCATGGCTAATCAGGTTTTCCAGTGATTCAGCCCATTTCTTGACTTCCTCTTGGCTCACCCTAGAGACATTAAAGAGAAAAAAATTAATGTGAATGCCATGATATAAAATTGAGGCAAGAAACCTAAGGTCCTGAATAAAATGCAGAGATTTTATCTTCTATCATAATGATAAGATCAATTGCTGATTAGGACACTTTTTTCATTAACCATATGAGAATTTTGAATCTAGTTATGATCTCCAAATCTGGCTTAATTAGGGGCATAACTTCCTTCTTGTCTCATGGAACATTTCTATTATCAAATACACAACAGATCTTCACCAAAGCCATTTCTCTTACCTCTGGCAAACAACCACCTTGTCCTTCTTGCTGTGGGAAGAATTATGTTCACAGGAATCAGACTTCTGCAACAGGAAACCCAGCCGATGTTTCATGTCCTTTGCACTGCACAGAAGAGGAAATAAAGAGAATTAACATGATAACCAACTCTTTTTAAAAGATGCCCTCTTTGAAGAGTCCATTTCTAGGGCTAGGAGCATCAAGTGCTAGAGCTCTTGACTAGCAAGTGCAAAGTTCTGAGTTCAAACCAGTACCTCAAAAAAAAAAAAAGAGTTCACAACTAGTGAGACAATTTAGGTGATGGGAGTTGCAGTGGCATGAGCTTTCAGGAGAACAAGATTCTTCTGCTTCTGCTTATGCATTACTATCAAGCTGTACTAACAGCCAGTCCATCTTGAATTAGGATTCCAACCTTCCAGTCTACCTCAGAAGTCTCTTCTGTACAGCCACCATCTTGACCAATAGAATTATCTTTGCTTCGCCAGTGGAACCACACTGAACACATGACTAGACTTTCAGTAATTTTTAGGGAATGGAAACCAAGTAGTAACTCTAAAAAACTTCTTGTTGTGCGCCCCCTTCTGGCAAGTGGCTGCTTTTCCCTGCTGGCACAGAAGGAGCTATGGAAACACCTCAAGAAAGTAAAGGTCTATCAGCTCCATCCCTGGGAATGTGGTGGCCAAGCAGTTCCTGACGTGAGGTGCACATACATGGAGGTGTGCCATCCCAGCAGGGACAAGTGGATGGTGGATGCAAGTTCTCAGGCCTGAAATCTGAGCTCCTTTAGGCTGGTCTCTAACACAATCTTTAGCTGCCACTGCCTTCCTTTAAAAACTTTACACTAAAGGAGACACACACACTAGAAAGGGCATTTGCAGTTTTGGAAGATGAACCAAGCCAGAGTCATCACTCAAGTGAGTAGTTTTCTAATTGGAGTGCTTTCCAGATTATTGCTACTGTTTAATAATAGGCAGTCAGGATACAGGGGGCTTCTGACTAACTCAAAAAGGAGGACCTTCTAATAAGCCTTTAATGCAACTCTCATTATTTATTACTTTTTCTTTTGCTGTTTTTTAATTATAAAAGCCAACGAATAGTTTGAGAAGAAAAAATGACATTTTCAAAGAAACATAACTAAATGTTCCTACTTGGAGGGGAAATAATAAGGGCACAAGGTAGAAAAATACTTTAGCTACTGGTATACTAGTGGCTTATCTATGTGGGTTTTCTCAGAAGGTTGGAATCCAAGTATGTTCTTGGACTGCCCTTTAAATAGTATCTTTCCTTCTTCACAAAACTATTTTCCTTTCTTTGCTTCCTAACTGGTCAGGGGAGGCAGGCAAAATTCTCCCCAATAAGAGCAAGGTATGATCATTAAGGCTAGGATAATTCTAAGGCGATGATGTAAGTGTATTGTGATTCAGTCCAAAAGAAATTATTGCATTTTTCCATGTGTCACTTCTGCCTGAAATCCAATAGTCATTAACCAATGCAGTGCCATTTCATGAACAGCTGGAAGCAAGTTTGGCAAGTGTCTTTATAATACAACATAACAACAAAAGTAAAAAATGGCATGACTTCAGAAGTCACTGGAGACAGGAAACCTAAATGTGATCCTCACTCTGCCACAAACCATCCATGTGACCTTGAGCAATTGAAGGCTGTATGCAGTCTCCAGCTGTGATGGAAGTGCTAGACCAGATGATTTATAATTCTCAGTGGGGAATGACAGGGAAGAGCAGCTCACCAGCTGACATAGACTTTCCTTCCTCAGGTTAGCAGCTTAACTCCTTGACACAGAGGTCTAGTGCATTCTTTCATCTGTCTCTCAAAATATTTTTGAGAGAACAGAACTTTCTCCTGACACTTCTGTGTTTTGTATGATTAATTTTATATGTAACATAACTGAATCTTGGAGTAACTTGCTTCACTTGGGCCAGGAAATTAATGATGAAAGTGAGAGGCAGTTATTGCCTGATCCCTCTCCGTCAGACTCTCCTTCTTCATTTTTAAAAAGCCACCAACGCATTTATACTAGTGCATGGCAGAATGTTTGAAAGGTAAACTTCTCAGTAATGTGCTGTTTAAGATTCTTTCCAAACTAAAATTTCTGGTGATTTCTATTTATTGGGAAACAAAAAAGGAGATGCTATACTTAAGATTGATTTTTTTACTTCTCACTGCAAGATGATATCATGCAATATACACCAACTTTGCATTTTATTGTTAACTGGCTAATATGTGAATGCCCTTTGAAATAATTTATTTATACCTTTGAAAAATAAAAAGCCAAAGACAAATGAGTTGCTATACATCTTTAAAATCTTTTTTTAAAGAAATCCAGAGAGTGCATTGATAAAACGTGTCTTTAGAATGAGATCTTCTACAAAACCCTTAGCTGTAGTGTGATCAGTATTTCTCAACCATCTCTCACATAAAACACTTCAAGAATTAGATGTTGGGAAGAGAGATAAGAGAGGTCTAGCTTTGAAAATCCTCTTATTGTCACATTTGCTTGTAAGAACAAAGATACTGCAGCATGACATGGACAGCATGGTGTTTATCTGATAATGTAGTCAAAACTCTTTTTGGGGTTATCTTCCTCCAGACCAGATCTAGTATACTATCAGAAAGCACAAAACCACAATTCTATGTGCTCCAGTGATACTCAAATAGCAACACTAATCCCAGAGACAGAAATAGTACAGATCACTACATGTAGCCCTGAATCTCATAGCATTTCATTCAAACTAGCTTGAATAGAAGATCTGGCTTAAAGGTCAGAATAGGTCTCAAAGCTGAAGTCATGTAAAACAACACAGAGATACCAAAATTTGGAGCATACTTCCTAAATCACAATATCTAGTTAGTCTTGGTGAAAAGCTCTACTAACCATATTGTTTCTAATTCAGAAAACTAGGTTACTAAGTATGGCATGCAAGTAACTGAGAAAGTCTATCCAAAAGTTTTAACCCAGCTACTGATTGGAAATGGTCTTACCTCCTCAGGCAGGAAGCCGGCAGACCTGCAAGTCCTTTGCACATCTTGTTTAACAGTGTGGAATTCTCAGGTAGGAAAGAAATGCAGCAGGAGGAGCTGTGGTTTCTATTTTGAGCACACTACCTCTTCTCTGCAAGGATGCTGTCAGAATCCTCTGAGCTTCTCCCTCCCAAGCCTGTAGGGGTCTCTTTTATAGCCCAGCCACGACTGTCCAGCCAATCGGAGAGCAGCACTGCAGGATCTGCTCCTTGTCTGCCTGGCCTCCTCAGGCGCTGGAAGAGATGAGAAAGAAAGGATTGATGCATCACCCACCGATACCAAGCAACCAAGCAGAGAAAACCCTCTTGCAAAGTAGGCATATGGAAAACAGATTTTTGCTCATATTTATGCCAGTGCTGAGGTTCTGAATTTGTAGGAAAAGAATAAGGAAAAAAGTCTACAGTAACGCAAAATGTAGTATATATTCATTTGTCCGTAAAAACAATACCCAGGAAATTTGCCCCCAGTAAGAAAGGTGCATCGGGAAATCTAGGGCTTACTTTGGGGGCCAACTCCCAACATATCTTCTCTTTATGATTAGAAATACATTATTCATCATCCAAGGTCTGATCTGAACTAATTCCAAAAAGAAGTTGGTAGAACCACAGTCTCCAGGAAGTGATTTACAGGAGTTGCCTGTCTGGTTGTCATGTACAGAAGAATATGAGGAGAAATAGGTGGATGGCAGACACTAATATGCCCATCGCATAGAAAAGCTAGCCTAGGGAAAATAAATTTCCTACATCGGTGATCAACCTGATTATGAAATACTGTTCTAAAAATCTTACTAAGAACAGAATTCAGCCTGGCATTGACAATCACTCCTGTACATGCTTGCTTCCTACAAAAAGCTTAGAATAGCAACATGAGGACCAGAGCAGGGAGCAGATGAACAAATATAGATACCGACTCTCATTAGTGCTGGTTTTATATCTTATGTAATTTTAAGCCTCCAAATGTATTTCAAAGGGAGGGAGGGAGGGGAGAGAGAGAGAGAGATGCCCAAGCAGACAGAATAATATGCAGCTTGCCTTGCATATTAACAGGCTTTAAAATGAATGTAAGAAAATTCAGCCCTACAGGTGCTCTGAACACCTGGACAACTGGCATCTTTTTCATATACATTGTGGACTGAGTTCTTCAAAGAGTCAAGAAAGTGTTTCACATCTTGAAGTCATAGCTCAGATACCCACATCAGAGTTACAGGGATCTTCTTCATGTAAGAAAGTTATGACTGCAAGGAAGAAGTTCATTGCTACGTGTGACGTACAACGTTTATTTTAAAAGCAGATAGGTTCCTGGTCATAGGCTACAGTGAGCTGTACTTTATGTATAAGGAACAGAGACATCAAATGGTTTGGGCAGAGATGGGAAATAGATGGAATCCAGAGAGATGCAAAAGTACCAAGATTATAGGAGGAAAAAGTAGTGAAGAGTGATACCCCCACATGTGTTCTCTATCCCATACACATGTACCCTGAATATCCCACACCCCCTGCCTTGACTAGCAGAGCAAGGAGATACCAGAAAAATATAGAAGAGTGGAGGGGCTGTAATATTCAGAATATGTATTTAAACTACAGAAAAAAAAATCTTTAGCCTTCTCCCCTGAAGACAGAAAAACATTTATTAGATTGACTTCTGAGAAACTTTCCCTTGAGTTATAGCACAGGACAAGGGAAAGTTGGCAGCTGTTTTTGGTGGTGGTGTGGAAGGAACTGTAGTACATTGTGCAATGAGAAAGACCATCAAACCAGGGGGGTGAACCAGGAAGAAATGGCATCAAAGGGAAAAGATTTGCTAAAAGGGAAAGATAGTTACTAAAAGATGAATCCAGGCCTTCTTTGCTTATCTGGGCAACTAAGAGAGTGATCACTCAAATAATTTGAAGTGAGTGAAATCCCAAAAAGATTTATTGATGCTTGAAAGTTCCACAATAAGAAATTTATATCTTAGACCTAGAATAAGAGAAGCCTGTGTTATCATTAGTTAAATATGAATCCTTGCAATAGATGAGCTGAATGGAAATAATCTAGTCTAATACTTTCATTTTACCACAAAGAAAACAGAGACCTAGAGAAGGAACGTTACTTGCCAGGTCACAGCTTTTCATTAACAGGACTAAATCCAGACCTGGGTTTCTTCATACGAAGTTGTGTGGATTTTTCATTGTGCTATCCCGTCACTCAATGTTCTTATCAAATGAGATATAAACTGTGTAAATATATTTCTAAACTGTAAAGGGCTAGGCAAATAGGGTTTTTAATTTTCAGATTGTACACAGCAGATAACAAAACCCAGTATTAATTTTATACATTTTATTTAAAGAACTCCTATTCTGCCCAGTTTTCTCTTGCTCCATGAAAGCAGGAGCTGCTGCAGACTCATTGCATTGGTTCTCTGCTAAAACCAGGTCTTTTAAACCATCATGCTCTTTAGACACTTTATATTCACTCATTTCTTTGACTATGATTTTCTAATAGTTTCAATACTGTCAAAGAATGATTGAAAAAGTTGCTCATAAATTAACTTATTTTTCCCTATGGAATGTGCTGATTGTGTTCAGGAGGTGAAGTCTGGTACATCATGATACCATGACAACGTTCCACCTCCTTTCTCTGCTATGCACAAAGCATCAAATTCTATTATTTGACGATTTGTCATTTGTGGATGGTACTGGTAGTGTGGAAGAGCTTTGCTCTCAAAAGATCTATTTTATATTTATTTGTTTGCTTAAGACATATCTTTTGAGCACTAATTCTGTGCCAGTTACTGTTTGAAAGGTACATTTAGCATGATTATCAAAGAGACAAGGTTTCTACCCACCTACCCCCAGTGGAGTTTTCATCCCAGTGGAAAGGATCAGAAAACAAACACTAAAGAAAATTCCAGATTTTGACCTGTACTGTGAAGAAAATACGTGGGTGATGCGCTAGAGAGGAACTGGACAGAGAAGGGCTCATTTAGCCAAGGTAGTTAGGAAAGGCCTCTTTGACCAGGTGATATCTGAAATGGGTTTTTTTTCTTTTTTTGCGTGGGGATTTGAGACAGGCTCTCCCTATGTAGCCCAGATAGACTTGAAGCTTGTGATCCTTCCACCTCAGCCTCCTGAGTGCTAGGAATTACAGGCATGTGCCACCACACCCAGCTTCTGAAATGAGGTTTAATGGGTGAGAATGCAAGAAATCTAAAACTTAATACTCTAAATAGAAGGAAGAACAAGTGAAAATGTTCATTATTTAACAAAAAACAAAAAGGGGACAGTGTGACTAGGGAATTAAGAACAAGGTGCTAGCAGCATGGAACTGAGACAGGAAAGTGGAGGCTAGATGCCAGGAAGTTTTCTGAGCTGTGGTCAAGAGGTTGGACTTTATCACAGCACAAGAGGAAATCCAGTAAAGAGACCTCTAATAGGAGGGAGGGGGAGGGTTCTGATCATGCTGGCTGTTGTGGGAGGAATGATTGAGATCAGTGTGCAGGAGCATGGAAGCAATGAGACCAGTTGGCAGAGTTAGCTTTTTGAATCCTGGTTCATTAGTTCTACATTGCAGAAAGGATCATTTCACAAATTAGTATTAGTTGGACACTGGAGCAGGCATTCTGCTAAGCCCTAGTGACCTAAATAGGAATCAGAAATGGAGTATGCATTTCACTTTATGGGAAAGAGGTGTGAATAACTGGAAAACACCAGGTTGAGTGCCATTATTGTAAACTTATTCAGTATCTGCAAAATTTTTAAGAAAACACAGAAAATGGAGAATAAACTCAACTTTTGGAATTTGGAGTCATTTTTCACAAAAGAGATGCAGTAGTTGTACAAAGCAGAGATGCCAAGAGAATTATAATACAAGGCATATTAAAAATTGCTAATCTTATTGGGCACTAATTGTACGAGGCACTGTTTTAAGCACCTTAAATCAATTAGCTCACTTATTACCCACAATCCATCCTGAGAGAATATCCTACAATGTTCTCATTTTATAGATGAAATGACAGGACTTAAATAACTTAGTTGAGGTTGCCCATGTGAGTGGAGACGACACACTGCCAATTTAGGCAGTCTAATTCCAAGGTCTCTGTCACTCACCTTTATGTTATCATGATCATAAAGGATGAAAGAAAGTGAACTGTTTGGAGACAATAGAGATGCATGATCACAGGTTTGAGGGAGAAGGAGAGACAGAAATGCTGCTGCATGGGTACTCTGAGAACCAAAGGGTGTTTTTTTGTCACATTGAAGACCAGCATTTACTCTATAATTGATAAGAGGTGTGGGCTAGCCAAAGTATTTAAGCTGATCAGATCAGTATTCTAGAAAGGGAATTTCAGAGATGTAGTTGTAATTGAATGGAGAAACTGGCAAAAAGTTTGAAGAATATTGTAATAGTATACAGAAAAAGTGACTGTGGAGTTTCATAAGCTATAATATGCAAAATATGAGGGAGGGATTGTTGATACCAGGCTATAGAAGAACTGTCCACTACTTCAGAACATGAAGTCACACGGCAGGAAGTGAACTGCGTGTGGTCTCCAGGTAAGTTCCAAATTCCCCCAGGTTTTGCTCATGGAGAACAAAAGAGACTATTTCTTAAGCACTGATGGGATTGAACACAAGGAAATAAGCCATTGTGACAAGTCTTGGATCTTTTGCTTCTGTCGGGGGCACTGCTTCTTCTCTTGAGCAGGATGTGAGCCAAAGGTCAACCTTAGACAATATTTGCACCATCTCAGATTACAATTTCCTCTCAGCTGTTAGAAGCCTCCCTTTTTCTTTATTGTTCACTACAATGGCCTGGACGTCACTGAGAATTCACAGTTATTGATTTTTATGGCTAAAATGCAAACAGGCCCTGCTGGAGAATGCTCTATACCAGGAAGAAGACTAGGGACTTTCCCACTATGCCTTACTGTAGGGAAACGTGTCTTACTCTGAGCCATGCACATAAACCAGAGACTCTAAAACTAACATTTGATAACAGCAGAATACATCACTGGATTTCTTCAGAGACACTAACAACTAATTAGTTGGAGGAAAAAACCCTTTTCTTTCCAAGAAACAAGGGAAGAACCAAAATATTTTGGAGATAAGCTCTTTCTTCTGTAGAGTTTAGACCAAGATAGAAACAGCAGTTTCATAAGAGTTCATTTGCATTGTGCAGGTGGAAGGAGACAGTATGGTGTCACAGAAAATGCTTGAACTTCACAGGGAGGCAGACCTGGATTCTAATTCTAGCTC